ACCCTTAAGGTCCCTTAGGTCCCCTAAGACGACGACGCAAACGATGTTGACGACGAAGACAATATCCCCTTAAGGGCCAACCTCCCCCCTAAGGGCCCCAGCAGAGATCAAAATTGAGCTTCAACCAGTCCCAATTTCCCTTTAACCAGATCAAGTGTGTGTGTGTGTGCTGCAAGTGCTAAAGTCATTCGGTGGGTTTAGGGTTTAGGGGCCTAAACTCTTTTGGGCAGCCTTTAGAGGGTAGCTAGCAGATTACGCCACAAAAAACGAACAGGACATGGATACTATCATAATGGAGAATACGATGGAGAATTAAATTGGAAGATCAAAAGGAAACTAGGGTCATACAGGTAAAGACTTCCTTGCAAAGGCACATCGTAGCTGCCACATTTTATCGGGGCACATCGCATTTGCTCGTTTTTGAGCGCTGCAGGCAGAGTTTGGTGGGTGCTTTTGAGCACCCACTGAAGATAGGGATGTAGGGCTGTTCAAGGCTCCTACGCGGGTTATGTAGGTCAATGTAAAGTTACATACGCGGTGCATGGGGTACTTAACAGAGGAAATGGGACGCTAAATTAATATTCAGGGCTATTCCTTTGCCCTCAGATGGGCTCTCTTGAGCAAGTACAAAACCTAACTTGCTGAAATCCGGACCAACACCCTGAACACATCTTTGGAAAGCCCGGCCCTGTTCCGCCTACCAGACACAAAGTCCAGAGTCCACAGGGTTTTAGGGTTTATGGCCTCAGCAGCCGCATAGAAGTCCAACAATGTTACAACAGGCCCAACTAAGAACTTCACAATTCCTAATTGCGATGTTTAACAAGCTCCATCCTGAACCTCTGAACGCAAAACTCCAAAGCCCCATACCTTACGCCTCGAGCGAAAGCCTCAAGAGTTTGTGGTTTTGGGTCTGAGGTTGGGTTTGGAGTTCAGGGTTTAGAGTTTCAGGTTAGAGTTTCGAGTAGCTTTCAACATAGTTTAGCTGTCGAACATCCTACTGGCAACCTCATCAACACAATGTATTTTTCGTCGAAATGGTGCTTGCGTCAACAAAATTCTTTGCAGTAGAATTTACAGTAGATCATCCTAAACATTGGGGAAGGAGGGTTTAGGGTTTAGGCTTGAGGGCTTGCATTAGATTACCCTACAGCCCGCAGTTCCTCTTCTAAGAAATACAAGCCAACATAATCATCTACTGTAAGTTCTTGCGTAGTTTTTCCCATGATCTTCGGGGGTGATGGGTTACAGAGACCGTTTGGCTCGGAGGGGCTTTTCTAGTGATCCATTTCCCATCTCCCTCCCTTCCAGCACCAAACCCTCAACCCTAGTTATACCTGGAACCCTAAGCCCTTAACCCTACACCATGTGGTAATGTTACCGTGACATGAATAACCCCCCAGAACCTGCTTTGCGATTTGGGCTTACGGAAGGGGGGGTCGTAATAATAAACCACGGGGACATGGGTAGGACCAGGTAGTGCAGCTCGTAATACTAAAGGCACAAGTGGAGGGGAATCGGGACGTTTCCGGCCGGACAATATTATTATTGCCACCCCTTTATTATTGCGATTTGGACTTAAGTAGACCTTGTCGGGCTCAAAACTTGTTAGAAAGAAAATTTGATTGTACGGGATTTTTCCGGTCCGGCAACAAAACATTATTGCCACCCCCTTTATTTATGCTACCTAAACATTGGTTGCTTGTATTTTTCCGTTTATCTAGTGACACCTAAAGGAGCAGGTGCACTGAATCGGCCCAGGTGCGGGCACAGGTGCTACCAGCCGGACACTCAGTTGCGATGACCTAAGCACGTCTTGTTTGGCACATAAACTGGGTTCTGCAGGGCTTACGATTCAGTAGGATTTGTGTTCGGGCTTGAGGGCTTAGAACAGAATATGATCATCTCTAGCCTCACGGGAGCAAAAAAAAACAGTTCAGCCTGGGGTGGTTTGTAGTTGCACGTGGATTGTTGAGTGCATAACCTAGGTCATGGGCAGCGCTACCCCCAAGTATAACCCACTATAAGTAAGGGCAAGGGCTGAGAAAAGAATAGCCGTTTTTGGCTTCTCCACTTATCCCCCCCCAGCAGCTGTTGGAAGGGGGAACCATATTACAGGGTGGGGCCCAAGACCCAGGCTTCATGATGCCCAACAGTCTACTCTTTCTTCCTTCGAAGCCCTGAGCCCTGAATGCTGTGGCAGCTTTCATGTCATGTTCTGTTTTCTTTTTCATTGTTGATTCTCCAGTACGCTTCAAGTGCCGGTTTGATGGAGTGTTGGCTCACCTAGGTCAGGGCACCATTGGACCTTCAATTTGTTTAAAGTTAGGGTTCCGTGAACTACAGGGACTGGTCTCCTCACTGGCACCTTTTTATGCTTGCGTACTCTTGAGTTGTTTGAGGAGTGTGCCTCAAGCAGGGCCTTTTCGGGCACCATGCAAGGTTTCTGGGCTCTTCGCCTGAACCGGCTTACAAAAAATGCATTCTGCCTCGTCACGAGAACCTCATCATGCAAAGCCTAAAGAATCCCAGAGTACAGCTTGCTGAGATGGCGATGCCTTTGCAGGCATCTCTATCAACCTTGACGCCCTCCCCATTGGGAACGGCGAAAGCACTACGAACAAGATAAATCATGAGAGCAACTGTGCTGGTAGCATCTTGTACGCAAAGGGGAGGGACAGGACAGCCCGGCTATCAAACAGCTCAGGTGGGCGTGAGAGATCCTAGGGATTTTTGAGTAAAGGGTTATGGAGGTACATAGGCTTTAGGGTTTGAAGTCTTTCGGAGCAAGTAGTCTTTTTTTTTCCGGTTTTATTTTTGTTGGTCGTTTTAGGTGCCTGGGGGACAGTTGATGTTGCAACACAGTGTACCTGCTCGCACTCTTTCAGTTTGGGAAATTACAACAATAAAGACAAAGACCCTAGGCAGGGAAAGACAGAGATCTACATATATATATATATACATAGATATACAGGGGGATCAAAACAAGATTCTGGGGTCCCTGCTGAGGATTTCCGGGGCCGTTTTGCGAAACGCTGAGTTCAGGATGACTCCCCATGAACCTAAACCCAAGGCCATAAACTTAAAACCTAATTAAACTCTTTTAGCCTTAAACCCCAAGCCCCCCTAAACTAACTCTGAGAAACCCTCATAGAATAACCCTATACCATAAACCCCAAACCATATAGCTCCTGGCAAACCTTAAGCCTATACCCTACACCAAACCCTGTAGCCCCTGAACCCTCAAGCCTGGCAAACTCTTCTTGCAGGATGGACCTTTAATCCCTAAACAAAAACCATATAGCACCTAAAACAATTTGAAACTCACATTTCACACCTATGCCATACACCCCAAACCCTGTAGCCCCTAAAGACGTCTTTCGAAAAAATCTCGTTTCAGTATGGGGCACCGATGGAGCAGGTGGCGGTGCTGGTGTTGGCTCGGGGGTTGTTGTTGATGTGGTCGCAGTCCTTCGGAGTGTAGGGTTTAGGGGTTAGGGGTTAGGGGTTAGGGGTTAGGGGTTAGGGTTCGGGGTTTAGGGCTTCTCAAATGCTTTGGGATTTCTGGGTTCTGGGGCTTTCTCTAGGTTTAATACTTAGGGCTTTAGGGGTTGAGGGCTTAGTGTTTAATGGTTAAGGGGTTAAGTTTAGAGCTTGAGGCTCAGGCCTAAGGTAAAGTGATTGAATCACGGATTTCGTGAGGGCAAAGGTTCAGCGTTGTGGTCAAGGGCTCAGGGATTTGGGATTTAGCGCTTAAGGTACCAGGGGTAGTTCCAAGGTTTGGACTTCAGAGCGCACAAGCTCCAATGCTTGAAGAGGCAAGGAGGGGTCCATGCCATGAAGCAACAAAGCTTCAACACTGCACCCTTAAACCCTTATGTTGGGGGCTGCTATAATGTGCTTTGGGGCCAGCTTATTCAAGATCAGGGATAATGATGATGTGAGGTCCGCTTTAATGTGATGTTGGGGCCCTAAATATGTAGGAAAGATTCTCAGCCATCCCTTTCAAATCAATCCACAGGGACCTCAGAACCGTTGGAGGTTGAGGGCATTTATTGAGGGACAGCAAGTTCTATTTTTTTTTGGAAGGCCCTACGCTTAGGGGGGACCCCCAACGCTGAAGTAGGCCCCACATTAAAACCCAACCCCCCAAAACCTTACCCCTAAACCGTCAACCCTGAACCCCGAATCCCAAAATCCCTAAACCCCTGAATTTCAATCCCAAAACATTAACCGCCTAATTTTGGAGATTTTGGCGCTGTCATCCCTAGGATCCCAAAGAACCAAACGTAGAACGGGCACCCTCTTTTAGGCATGATTGGGGCCTAGAGTTTAGGATTCGAGGTTTAGCGTTTAGGGACAAGGAACCTAGGTCCCCAGAAAAGCAAAAGGAGCTACAGTGCGTTAGCTCCAAAATTTAGTGGTGCATACCCCA